AGATCAATATGGGAATGATCTATAGTACTTATCTATTTATCTTATGATTTTCATAGAATTATTTTCCAGCAGCTTGACTACATTAACCTTTCTCGATTTCTAGAAACATGTGGATCCGTTTTCTGCTGCCGCAGTTTCGGTTGACTGGCCAAACCACCAACACTGACATAAAAACTTAGCCAGTTGACTTGGGTAATGTAACTGTTCTTAATTGTTAGCCAGGGTATTTGGTTCGAAATTATTGTTTTATCATCCCATCAAAACATATGGCAGACAATAATAGGTAGATTCGGAAACTCCACCGTTAATTGAATCAAAATAAAACCCTTTAGCATTATCAGTAGATGATACAGACTTCTTATCATCTCCTGATTATGTTAACTTGGTTATCGAAATGCGAGACAGTATTTTTGTTATGATGGGGGACGATAGAAGTAAAGACAGAGTTCTACTAAGTGATGTAGTCTGCAGTTACTGGGATAGTTTTGATATTTCAGATTAGAATGTTACCTATGACAATAAAAAATGTCTTTACTTAATGATACTTAAAACATCCGCCTCTGCCTAACAGAAACACTCGATAACTTGACCTCCATGCATGGGTGATTTAAGGATTTTGTCAAGTTTGAAAATGTTATCTGGTTTCAGTCTAAAGTTTGAATGAACAAATCAAGCTAATGAAAAAACTAATGATGTCATAGCGGCCATAGTTTTTCATTACTTTGGTTTAGTGAAAACTCTATGTTCGTTTCAGAACTTATGTCACGTTGAGGTGAAGATTTGGACTTCCAATACCAGAAAAATGTACAGATGAGAATTTGATCAAGAATCGTGTTAGTTTCGAAAAAATGTGAACAGTAATAGAAACAGATAATTCCGTGATGATTAAAATCAGCCATGATTGTGTTACTATATAGTGAAATTAATAATCTAACTAATGAAACTTTCACTTTTAGTTGAATTATAAAAAATATATTTGATGAACACCTATTTCAAATCAAATAATGGGATACGATGTAATTTATTCAAAAAACACTTTATTGTGAGATTTTTCACTAAATAGTTTTACAATAACGTAACAGGTGTTTCGCGATACAATGGTTTCTTCGGGCTTGTCTTTACTAACTAAATTCTATGTAGAATTAGGGTATATTCTGAAAATTGATTCTCGTTGGAAAAAATCTTGAAGTGAATTATTGAAAAAGCTAGGTAATTATTAATTAACAATATTTTACTTGACTTGCATCTTCAGTGAAAACCACAAAAAATGTTTAAATCACGTTACGAATAAAATATATATAAAGATATAAATGTTATTGAGTGTGTATGATATAAATCAAAGGGGAAAATTCGTGGACAGAACACTCAAAACCGCGGACACGTGTTTCTGGCTATTGACCTCATCATATATATGTAATTCGTTTATAACTTTTGCAATTTTTTATATGCTATAAAACGGTTTTACATTTTTCTAGATATCATTCTGAATCGAATAAGCCATCGCACGTAGTTTTCCGGCCATTTTCTCTATTTTTCACGGTTTTCAACTTGTGAACTAGAATGTGATGCCTTTCTTGTACATGTTAGTGTTTGGCATTATCTTTAATGTGAGGGTTACTTGTTTAAGGGCTTGTTTGAACAGTTTTTTGTCGAGGACGTAAGGAATAGTGTCATATAATTTGAATTAACTGTTTTTGAAATTCATTTTAGAAAATATTTCACATATTGGTAGCAAATAACTTCTACATTCTGTGAAGTGACTGCTCGTTTTCCGGCTAAAGTATTACGACACAGCAGGCTGTTAAAATAATCTCACTAAATTGTCACCAACGAAATCGACCTTGAACATTTGAACTTAGGCGCGATAACATGGTAATTGCTATTTACGAATGTATATCAAGTTCAAACCAAAAAAGAATTGGCTAACGAATGCGGTCGTTGACCCGTCCGTTTCGAAAAGAAATTTTATTCTTAGAAATATATATGTCGTTTCATTTTGAAAAGATAAATGATGTCGTTTTCTCCCACGCATTGACTTTGGCAATGTGACATTCAAAACACCGAAATCCTAACATATTTTCCTCTGAACAAAAGATTCGTCGTTCAAAATTATGTTAGTCGATATCATTTTCCCGAAAATAGCGTTGGTGTTGATTAAATCACTTGAAATTGTTTTTCGCGCCCCTGCCAATGAAAACAATCGGGTGAATGTTTTGAATTGGGGAGAGAAATGTTTACGACGTCTGAGTTGAAGATTTCAGAAACAAAATGGAAAAACATTTTATTTAGATCTACACTTCAGGCAGTGAGTAGCTTTTCATTAATAGCTGTAAACGAAAAAGTAAACAAGTAAAGTGTACAAATAAAGTTGGGAATGCATATAATGTAAAAAGTAATTCAAAAAATAAATCGTCTTCAAATATAAAGAGAAAAAGAGAGAGAAACATATCTAGGGAAGATTGGTTTTTGAGGAAAACAGGCTTTGTGATTTTTTTACTTCTCCTCACTTACACAAGAGATAATGACATGATATTTTTATATACACACAGAATCAACCAACATAGCATCGCGTCGTTGCTCTTTTCTGTATCGAACAATAAGAAGACAAAAACTGAAATTGGGGTTTACCCATCCTCTTTGACTAGTAAGACCAATTGAAGGTTGCTTTGTTACCCTTGATTCAAGTTTACGCAAGTTTCAGATTACATAACATCTTCAATTTCTTTAGTACTTCTTGTTGTTTTGCGCGATCAAGATTCATGAATTCCTACAGTAATATTTCAGCCACTTCTTTCCGAGCTTCAGTTTATACCTTGCGATTTTAGTACACATCTGAAGATGTGTCTAGAAAATATTCTCATGACTAATGCAGAAAGCTTCGACTTCAACCTACTACCTAGGCTGAAAAGTGATAGTCTTCCTGTATTCATCGCTTTTTCAGTTATTACTAACCTTCAAAAGAAAACTGTTGAAATTTCATGATATTCTACCCATAAGTTTGTGTGTTATTGTGCTGCGAGTGATACTACTTTTGTTATTTTCAAAACAATGGATCCAAAATAATTTCGTAGTTTTAATTTTACTCTGCTTCTTGCTGGGAAAAATACCGTTAAAGCAAAGCAATGGCTTGGAATGCGTTTTAAGGACTCCGCTCCATCGGAAAGCATAAAATTTCCACAAACCTGTTTTGAATAATCGAAAAGTGAAGTTGCATGACTTAACTGACATTGTAAATATATCAAAAGAACTTGTTGGCTTTATATTACGTGAGCATTTGACTATGAGAAAGCTTTGTTCAAAGTGGGTACCACGCGAGCTCACTGTTGACCAAAAACAAGAACGTTGTGTTGATTATGAGCAGTTTTTGGCCATGTTTAAACATAACAAACCGGAATTTTAACACTGACAATGGATGAGACATGGATCCATCACTTCGGTGGGTCGGTAGCCGGTCGGTTCGTCGTGGGTGCTTTATTCACTCACACAAATTGACGGCCATGTTGGTGGTTGGTTCAAGCCCCAGGCTGAACGATCGATTTTCACTTGCTATCGTCCAACCCGTGTTAGGAATCACACGTAAAAAAATAAGACCTCGTTAGTCCATAGATCGCACAAGTTTCGACTTCTGAGGGTTATCGTTCGTAGGGGTGCGACAGCTGGTTATGGGAGAAAACAGATTCAAACAGTTTGAACTCCGGAATCAAAACGATTGTCATCTGAGTGGAGAGCAACTGATGAACCTCGTCCAAAGCGCCCGAAAGCACAAAAATCAGCTGTAAAGGTTATGGCCTCGGTATTTTGGGATGTGCGTGGTGTAATATCCATCAACTATTTTGAGAAGGGTTATACCATCAACAGTGAATATTAAATGGCATTATTGTAGCGTTTGAAGGTCGAAGTTGCAAAGAAAAGACAACGCACCGTGTTACAAGTCAATCAAAACAATGGCAATACTACATGAATTCAACTTCGAATAGACTTCCTAAGTCCTGACGTCACAAGTAGGCGGAGCTTAGCGAACTTTTCCAAACAAATCAATTTTACATGTTAAAACGCCATAAAAAATTATTTATATATTTATTGTATGTGCTTGCATTGCTAATAAGGACATTCGCGTACATTTTTGATTTGTTGTCAGTTAGTTGTTACATATTTTGAAAAAATTCCCCATAGGTAGGTAACGTTTTTAATGAAGAATTGTCATGTTTGTTGAGGTTATGTTATCTTTTCAAATGAAATATAGTTACTTAACATCTATTGTTTCAGATATATATATGGCTTCAAAACATGTTTTAAAGCTATCCTCTATAAATGATTTACTCGACAATGATAATATAATCATGAAAAAGGCTGAAACTGCCTTGGAATCGAATCATGTGTATAGTATACAGTTTGATGCTTGACTTGATGACTTGATGATGATAAGAGAAGTTCATGCAAGCATGAAAGATAAATTCTATCATGTTGAAGTGAGTCGTATGTCATGTATAAGTTTTTCATTTTTACTGAACAGTATCTTTGTTGAAGATCACACTGAATAAATCTGTAGATATCATATCTGCAAATTGTGCTTGTCCTAAAGGAATAAGATGTCATCATATTGCCACATTAGCTCTTTTTGGACACTTCAATATACTGTGACGGACAAGGAATATGATCCACTGTGGGCAGAAAACTTATTGCTGCTAGATGATTTTTATATAAAACAGTACCTCCCAAACTTACACACAATCTTACATCAGCTGAAACTTGACTCAGTATATGAAATTATACTCAGATAATCATGTTAAGATAAAGTGTATTCGATATATGTAAAATAGTATTGAATATAGTAACTGTTGGGGACAAGCTAAAAATAATGGAAACCATATCGATCAGCTGTAATAAATAGTATTTATTTTTTTATTGCCACTACTGTAAATAGTGGATAAAATTCAAAGAATTCAATCAGTAAAATCATATATTTATTCACCAAAGAATCAAAAGTATCTATATGTGGAAATGATACCATTTACAGATTCAGAATGGCAAGAGTCTCCGTTTCAGACATTTTTGAAGGCCCTGCTACTTCTGAACTTATATTGGTTGCTTCCACCCCAACCTCTCTTGCCTTGACGGTTCGTTTACTGAAAACAAAGTTATTGAATCCAAGAATAGTAATATCTTTTCTCATTCATGTGAACATTCCGTTTTTCTGGAGATTTAAAGTCGAACTTTCTCTCCACATTGAATTCAAATGAAGTCAGTCTATTTTTTTATCCATGTTAACAAAGTGACAACTGCAAACTAATGAATGGTTTGATGGCTCTCGATCTTGTCTCCTGCAAATTGATTTAACAATAAAATGCTTCATTTATGTATTAAGTATGGTGATCAGGTACCTTATGAGATCAATCCACTTTTTTCTCTCAGCTGGGTCTGCAGGAAACCCAAAAAATTTACAAATCCTTTGTTCACTGTAGTGTTCACAACCAGGAACGAAACACATAACCATGTTAACTGCAGTTCAGAAATCTGAAACAAAAAGAAATTAACATATAAAATGCTGTTTCAATACAAATTACTTGAAAATCTTCTTTATAAATTCTTAAACGTAAAATGAAAACTTAATAATCATAGAAACATTCAATACATAACCTAACAAATACCTACTTCAGAAGCTAATATAACTGAGAAATAGTTACTTACGGGTCGCTGTTTGATATAAGTAGGTAGAAAATGCTCCTACAAATGTGAAATTATAACTGTAAAGGCTTATTTGTGCCCCACAATTGTTAAACATTCGTTGAAAGAAGCTCTTATGACAATTTCAATGCATTTTTTAATTGTTTGGAAAAGTTCGCTAAGCTCCACCCACTCTTGACGTCACATTAGGTTGTCCATTGCTCCCACATCTACCGTATTCGCCAGATTTGACTCCCAGCGACTACTGGCTGTTCGCAGACCTCAAAGAAAAGGCTCACCGGTAATAAATTTCACTTGAATGAAGAGATTATTGCTGAAACTGCGGCCTATTTTGAAGTTAAAGATGAATCGTTTTACAAAAGTGGTATTGAAATACTATAGCAGCGCTGGAATGACTGTGTGACTCTTGACAGAAATTACGTAGATGAATAGAGCCAATTTTGAACAAAAAAACCTGTTTTCTTTTTTAGGGCCGGGACTTGTCAGCCCATCATGATCAGCATCAGCTAATCGATCGACGCACACACAATTTTGGTGGGTGGACCTATGATACAACACGAACATGTAACCGACACATTTACAACAATGACTAGAAAATATCGTCAGTATCAATCATTGGTCCTTCATGGCGTGGACCTATTCATCATCATCATTATTATTTCGGTAACACTATGAGACGTATTTTCATTATTTGATGTTACTCATTGAATGCTGATTGCGAATAATAACATATACGATAACGAACTATGACAAAGGTTCACTAAATATGATTAATATATTTTGGTAAAAGCTGACGCTTCGATATTTTGACTCACCATCTGATACGATGGATCATGTGTGATAACTCCATCGGATCCACTATGGACTCCTCTCCATACCAGTGATTCAAAGTATTGAACACCTTGCAAAAATCGTTCTAAGGGTGGAAATTATTCGAGAAATTGTCTGATTTAGCGCGTACGGAATTAAATTGAACAATTCAGCGAATATCTTTACAGGTACTGACAGTATAAGCAGTATAAGCCCTGAATCTATTTCGATAGCCTTTGAAGGAAAGCACATTTGTAATTCGTAGGGAGCAGAACCTGATTGATCTGACTTGGCACTAGGTCCTATACAAGAGGGTCGATGTAGATCTTCCCCAATATACCGTAGCGGTCGTAGTCGGTATTAAGCACAACTCCGGTCGTCAGTAGATAAAGAACAAGTTATAGTAGTTGTTCATGTCCAATGGATAACCCTTTTGACCACAGTGGATGAATCACCCTATAAACTTCAGTTAATATCCGATGCATAGGTATCGCCAATTTATTATTGGCGATACCACGAATCTTTATTTTCCAAGCTATCATTTCAAGGGATAAAGATACAGCAACTTGGGTACTTTATTAGGAATTAATAAAAACCACTTCTTACTCAAAAGGAATTGGGTTTCATTTCCACAAAGTCACAACCAGTTACAATCTCAAACTAGGACCTCAAAACATTCATCTATCCCAACGTACCTACACAGTAGGTTATAGTAAATTATTTCTCCGACTAATCCACGATGGATATTGACTTATATCCGATAGGATTCATATCTGCTAGGAATCACACGTCAAAAGGTAGGACTTCGTAAATTCTTACCTTGCACAAGTTTTGACGTTTGAGAGTTGTCGTTCGTAGGTGGGCGAAAGCTAGTTAACGCAAAAATAGATTGTTGTTCAACAGATATTTATGCAAGATACCTCACTGGAGTTAGTCTTTCAAATGCTTCTCGTTCATCCAGCAGCAGGATCACGCTGAAATCAATCGAGTAAATTACGTTGGGAGAGATTCTATTTCGAAATATTCATTATCTTATGCATACATTTCTTCTTCGATAGAGTCTTCAGACTTATTTTGATTTCATTCTTGGTATATGAGATGTTTCTTTCCCCCTGTGGGGCAGTAAGATGAAGTTGTTATTAGTTAACATAGTTTTCTCTTGGACGACGGTTTCATACATGCCGTTGAGCTGCGTTGAAGGCAATCGAGTCCCAGGATTTTATGTGGGCCTTTTGCTGAACGGGTTCCGACTCGGTGACAGAGTTGTGATCATCTCGTTCTAAATCGAGTTCATCAGTTGCTTGGGCAGCTGTGCTAATGATAAATGCTCCGATACCTGCTCTGTCATTATCGCGGACCATGCAGACAACGGGATTCGAACTCCCGATGTTTCAACAAATTCCATCTAGTACCATTCTGTCATGTATACTCCAAACTCGAAAGTCCACGACCTTCTTGTCTGGGGAGGTACAACCGTAGATCGTATCATTTGGGATGTAAACTCTAATGGAGATGCATCATTTTCCAGGTCTTTACGTCGAGTTGATTCAACTTCTTCCTAGACTCCTAGACCATCTCACTACTCCGAACTTGTAGAGTAAGATTGGAATGGCAATTATATTCGTAACAGCAATTTTGTTTTTCGTTGACAGTTCCGATGACCAGATCTGTCGCAGTTTGTGCTGATACTTGCTGCGGAGAAAGTTCTTCACTGTTGTTACTTCTTGTGAGTGGCGTTGTTCAACCACGAAGTAAGTATACGTGTCTCCGCCATACAAATGGTGTAGGATGCTTCCATCTACGGGCTACACATCCTCTCCGTATTTCCGGTATGACCTTTTTTGAGATAGACCACACATTTTTCTATCTTGAATTTCATGCTGATTATCATTATTATTAGACAATTATTAGAAGTGAACATTTTCAACGGAAGTGAAATTAGAAATTCGTAAGTTTTTAATGACTTTTGGGGAAGTAATGATGAATCCTGTCAAGGAAGTTTGAAAATGAAATAAATGAAAAGAAAACTGCAAGTTGTATTTGATTTTTTCAATCCCAGCCATTTTTTGGTAAGCAAAATTATCAACTACGATAAACAGAGCATTTTCTAATACAAAAATCAATCAGAAATGTGAACACCTATATACACATATGGATTAAAAAACTTTTCATGATCTCATCTTCCATTATTTAGCAATTAATTATCGCCAATGATGCTTCGAATGAAAATATTAATGAAAAGAAAACCATTCCACTTCTAATCCTGGATAAATCAAAGTCATTTCAATTTCCATCGCATTTCTTATCGATACTGATTTGTCACATGATTGTGATTATTCAAAGTAAATATTTTGACGATAATGAATTGATCAATATATTTACGTCTAGTCATTTGTTTTTCAAATATACCATTATAGTCTGCGCACGTTGGTCAAGGTCAGGCAATGGAATTTTAATTATTTGAATTGGTGTGTTTTGTTGCCTGTATCGTCTCTTCGCGATACCTAAATATTGAAAAAATAAACTTGGATTCCATATATATGTAAAATTATATATCGATTTCTCCAGTTCAAAGAGGATTTTTATCAACAAGAATTTGGAAGAGCAATGAGCTCCTTCCTGCACTGATTCTGTATAAGATTTTGATGAAATATTTTGAAGAAATACATCAAAAATTACTAGAATAGCCCAAATATATGATGATGATGTATTCAAAGGTTTCTTGAATTATTTGAATCCAACGTTAGAAAAAAAGTTCACATTCAACTTTTCTTCTCGATGTTGTGATAAAAATCGAGCAATACTCTTGATACGAGTGTTTATCGAAAGAAACCTTTCACTAATAGATATCTCCACTACACATCTAATTATAACGCTAACGCTAGTGTCAAAAAGGTATAGTCAGATGATTTTATGGTGGGTATAAGACAGTTTGCAATTGAGTTCGTAATCTGGAAGAGGAAATAACTATTATAAAAACGGTTTCGTAGGAAAACTCAACAACAACACACCTATACACAACTAATATCATATCTTACTCGTAGGTTTCCAGTTTGTCTGCAAAATGTATACGAATCGGTTAGGGATATGATGTAAGAACCACTTTTATAGGTTTCAACACATTGATATCTATTTTGACACAAACTAAACCTGATAATACGGTTGAAAAAATGAAACATGTATTTATACTTATAAATGCGAAAGTCACTCACTTAACATTCACTAATTCATCTCTGTTTCTTGGTACTGGTGAGTCCTAGGAAGCTAAAAATTTGGAGTACAGGTGCTTCTTAGGTCTTAGATACGCAGTAAGAAAGGATATTCGAATATTCCAACTGGGACGCCCAAGTGGGGGTAAAAGGGGTGCGTTTACATATGAAAATTAACTTTTCATGACTGTTCGTCCGTACCGCTATATTCTCGGAGGCAGAAGTTTTTGATATAGGTTCTTTATATGTTGTTAATGTGCAATAAGGAAGCATTTTTGAATATTCCAACTGGGGCGTCCTCACTGGGGATGAAAGTGGCGCGTTTACATATGAAAATTAACTTTTCATGACAGTTTCTCCGTACCAATATATTTTCGGAGGCTGAAATATTTAATGTAGATTCTTTTTAAGTTGTAGGCATGCAATATAGACGGATTTTTGGATATTTCAACTGGAGTTCCCCCTCCTGGGGATAAAAGGGACGCGTTTACATATAAAAATCACCTTTTCATCACTGTTTCTCCGTACCGCTATATTCTCGAAGGCTGAATTTTTTAATTTCGATTCTTTATATGTTTGAGATGTGCAATAAGAGAGGATTTTCAAATATTCCAACAGGGGCGCCTCCTCCTCTTTTATCATGGTTTCTCCGTACCGCTATATATTCGGTGTCTGAAATTTTGTATGTAGGTTCATTTTATGTTTTAGTTGTGCAATTCAAAAGTATTTTCAAATATTCCAACAGGGGCGCCAGCCGCGGGGAAAGAAGGCGCGATCATAAAATAAAGTTACGTTTTCATTACTGTTTCT